CTTTGGAAAATACAGTGTTACCTCAGTTCACAAACTTGATTCTTTACATGATTCTGTTCACAAACTGAGTTGGAAGAAAACCAAATCAAATCCAATGGTTAGGTTCAATGTTGACTTTAAGGGAAATTTGATTTTGTTTTCACCCAGTTTAGCTTGCAACCAGAATTGTGAAAAGAACTAAGTTCATGAACTGAGGTACCACTGTATAAAACATTTAGACGCAAGAAGAGGTGAATATAAAGTATTATAAATTCTATGGCTGCCAAGCATGTTGGTGCATTCATGTAATCCCAGCACTGAGGAGGCTGAAACAGGAGGACTGCATGAGTTCAAGGCCACCTTGGACTACATAGTGAATTCAAGGTCAGCCTGAGCTATATAGCAAGATCCTATCTCAATACCCCCCAAATCAATCAATCAAGCAATCAAGCAAATCAAAATGTCTTCAAATATAAAAATGCTAGAAGGTAAATATAAAACAGTAAATTTGATAAGAAATTTGAGAACATCAAAACTCAAATTCCTTAGAAATTATTAGATACACCTTACTATGTCCTGTTGTTTCTGAAAGTGGTGGTCAAGATAAAGTCCAGTTCTGAATTAGTTCTTGCCCATGCCAAGAAGAAAGCACAAGTTTAGAAAAAGTATGAAAAGAAAATATAACATATGGTGGGGAAAAGCCCAGAGCTAACAGGACTCTGAATGAAGTAGCAGGAGATTAGGACTTCTAAATTTCCTGTTCCTTAAAAAGCAGGCAGGCAAACATTTATCACTGGTTAATTATAGTGAATAGTAGGCTGCAAAAAATGCACTTGGTTAAGACCTCACTTGTTACCAAAACCTCTGCTTTTCTGTGTACCTAAGCCATCAATTCCTGGCTGTAAAAGACGATGGCACAATATTCCTCAGCCAACTAAATAGGGCTCCAAAGACTAGTTTTAACATCAGGAACACAAAGGATACTGTCTTCTCTGCTTCTGTCCTGTGTGCTTTCCATTCCAGGCAAAGCTGCTGCTACACGTCGGAAGAGCTGCGGGAGAGATGGTGTGAAGGTGGGTAACCAGTGGGTGGTGAGTTAAAAGACAGGGTTTTGGGGTTACTCTTTAAACATTAGCATCATGAAGGCATATTAAAATATATATTCATTTTATAAATGAGCATCTTATGAAAAGCACACCAAATATAAAGAGGTAATACAGACATGACTTCTGCTTTCCAACTGGTAAGACAAGACATGAACAAACAGCTGTGAAATAAGCAGCAAAAATGTCGCTTGAGTCATAAAAATGAAACACTACAGAAACTCAGGGAAAGGACAAACAATTCATCTAGGAAAACAGTACAGTGGCATTTCTATCTTTCATAAAGGGTTAGGTTCCAAACTCAGTGTATTATATACAGTGACAAAGTTACCCTTGATAATTACTTAGAAAAACACTGTTAGAGACCAGCATAAGACCTTTCAAGTCCAACACAGCTGGCCTTTTCTCCATCATCCGAGCAAGTGGTTGTGTCTTTGAGGTACGAGGCTATAAAAAATACCTTCAGCAGGAGGAAACAATCCTGGTGAGATGTTTGAAAGGCATGTGGGAACAGATAATGACCAAAGGAACAAAAGATTCACACCACTTCTAACGTGCCCAATCTTAGACTTATACTTTTTTAGTACAATGACAAGCAAAACTGCCTGATTATTTCAATTATTTCTCCTTTAGTTAACATGCAGTGTAGAATTCCAGAAAGTAAATGCTATGTCATGTAACTCCCTTGAAGTAACCGTTAACTTAAAGCATTATCTCAAGCTCTTCATAGATACAGAAACTAAGTGAACACTTTTAATTTAAGAGCTTACAATCTGGCAAAAGAGATAGACCCTATCCCTGACATCACAATGTGATGAATTTCTATAAAACAAGGAAACAGAAAATATGAGAATACAGATGTAAGAAGGACAGCCTCAGCAGAGTGGGAAACATCTTAAGGAAGTGACATCTTGGTTGGGATTTATAGGCAACTGTAAATGTTATGGCTGAAAATCATACTTTGTAAAAGACTTCATAAATGTTGCTTACTTAAATTGAGAAACAACAGAATGAATGTAAAGCCAGAGATAAGGAACTATAAGTAATATGTTTAGGAAAGTAAGTACAAAAATAGAGCAAACTGTGAAATTTTGATTTGTTGGACAATAAGCAGAGAGTGTGGGAGTAGGAAAGTCTGGAAAAAATGGTAATTTTTGAGATGTGCCAATATTAGGCTTTAGCTTCAATATTTAACCCAAATCAACTATTACATTTGAATTATAGAATGTTTATTTTAACATTATTTCTGGGATACCATATACTGTACATAATCAAAGATCATAGTTTTATAAATTGCCAATATTATAAAATCAATATAATATTAATTGTACATGGTGGGTCACTTAGGATTAATACATGAATATTTAGATTCAAATGTAAACATTCTATTTTTTTGTTTTGTTTTCTGGTACTGGGGATCAAACTCATGACCTTGAGCTTGCTGGGCAGGTGCTGTGCCGCTGAGCTAAACCCCCAGCCTGTCAAATGTAAACATTCTAGAAATAAGACTAAATGCCACAATAAGCAATAAAAGTGAAAGCTGTTAATCTTATGAACAAAAATAGCTAAAAACTTACAAAGCTATATAGGTTGCTTAGTATACTAGTCACGTAAATTTCAAAGTATGCTCTTTTAAAGACAGTAAATGTTAATAAAACTTTAATATCAAATTAGGTGATTCTAATCTTTCTTAAGTTCTAATGTATGTATTCATACTAGGCAGTGAATTTTAAAAAAATCAACCCTTTCAGTTCAAAACTCTACTACTTATTAATAAATCACCTTTGATGCAGTCATAAAGAAAACAGATTCTAAAGGAAAACATATTTTATAAAAAAATCAGAAAAGGCCAGGCATGGTGGCACATGCCTATAATCCCCACACTTGGGAAGCTGAGGCAGAAGGATCACAGCAAGTCTGAGGTCGGCCTGAACTACTGTACACAGTGAGACCCTGTCCTAAAAAAGTGAACAAAACAAACAAAAAAAAGAAGGCAAAAAAAAAAGTGTTCTCTTATCAACATCATACAAACGCCACCATGTAACATTGCAAACTGTAGCAGACAGTATTGTGACCAACAATGCAGCCCTATAACAGTGTTTCTAGGATTATTTTAAATTTTCTTCTATAACCCAGAAATTCATTCTACACGATATTCAGTTTTAACTTCAATTATTTTAACACTAATCTAGCCAAAATGTATATACAGCACATTTCTGATATCAGTAGAGCCGAGGGCAAGGCAAAAGAGGTGATATTAAAAAAATAAAATGAAAAACAAAAAAGGTAGTATTTTATTTAAAAATTGAAGGAATAGATACAAATCACAAAAATATTTCAATATCGCTCTTAGTTGATACTTCAAATCTGCAAGTCATTTTCCCACATGACAGAAATATAAATATTTTATATGACTGATCAATAACAAATGCAAGGGGAAGATTTTAACCTATTAGTTAAATGTGCTCAGTAACGTAAGTTTTTTTGCCTTTCTTATTTTGCTTCCTTACTGAATTATATAAAGGACACTCTCTAAATATTGAAATAAAATCATAACTAATGAACTATGGGACTTCCTATAAAATGAAAAATATGTACTGATTATTATGGGTTAAGAAGGAAGCTATAGCTGGTGTCGTAGTGAACTCGTATAAGCCCTGCACCTAGAAGGCTGAAGCAGGAGGATGCTGTGGAGTTCAAGGCCAGCCTGGGCTACATAATGAGTTTAATGCCAACCTAAAATACAGAGCAAAAACAAACAAACAAAAAGCCAGACTGTGTGGCATATGCCTATAATCCCAGCACTTAGGATGCTAAAGGAGGAGGACTGCCACAAGTTCGAGGACAGCCTGGGCTATATAGTGAGTTCAAACCCAGCCTCTACTACATAGCAAGACTCTGTCTCAAAAAAAAAAAAAAAAAAAAAAGCTACATGAACGAGCAAACTAAACAAAAAGATGGCAGTTTTGTTCCACGTTGAACTGTATTTTGGTTGCATGTATACTTAAAAGATACTAAACTGAAGTCTCAGTAGAATTAGGCACTTAAAAAAAAATAGTAAATGGGTTTTGAAGACAAGACTGTTTTGTTAAAAAAAACCACTTCATTATCACTGTTAACTATATCTATTTGTATTAGGTTTTGAGAAAAAAATATGTGCCTACTGATAAAAATATTCTAAAACTGGACTGCAGTGATGGCTGTACAATCCCATAAATTTACCACAGCAATATCTACTTTAGATGGTAACACAGAACCAGAAAAAGACAACCTGTAACACTACATAACTGAATTATATAGTTAAAATAGTGAATTTTATGGTATAACAAGGTTAGTATCCCTTATTTGAAATTCTTGGGATGAGAAGTATTTCAGATTTTGGAATATTTTCATGTACATAATGAGCTATCTTATGGATGAGACACAAGTCTAAACATGAAAATCATTCAAGTTTCATATACTCCTTAAATGTATAGCCTGAAAGTAATTTAAAGCTATATTTTTAGTGCAACTGTGTTTTGACTCAACCTGCCACATGAAGCGTGGAATTTTCCACTTGTGGTTTGGAATAGGTGATAAAAACATTTTGAATTTTGTTTTTGTTTTTCTTCTGGTACCAGGAATCGAACTCATGACCGTATGCTTGCCAGGCAGGTGCTGTGCCACTGAGCTAAATCCCCAGCCCCAACATTTTGAATTTTGTATTAAGATATCTCTCTCTCTCTCTCTCTCTCTCTCAGACAGGGTCTTGTAGTTCTGGCTGACTTTGAACTCATGACAATCCTCCTGCCTCAGCTTCCTGAGTACTGGGATTACATGTGTGTGCCACCATGCCTGGCCAAGACATACAAACTTTTGCTTAAATAAACATATTAAAAATTCTGTGCTTATAAAATAATAATGGAAGCCAAGTATAAACTTGGCACTTTGGAGGCTGTAGCAGGAGGTTTGCTATGAGCTTGAGGCCAGTCTGGGCTATAAAGTTCAAGACCTGCACAGTGAAACCCTGTCTCAAAGACAAAAAAAAAAGAATGAGACATTCTCCTTCACAACATCCTGGGATTATCTAAATTTGCAAGGAATTAAACATCATGAAGACACTAATCATCAGTAGTGTTCTCTATGTTCTAATTCTAGAGCTTCCAAACCTGTAAGATTACTAAAGGTGAGGACTGCAAGGACCACAGCAATATCTTCTTTAGGTGATAACACAGAACCAGAAAAAGACATCCTGCAGCACTACACAAAAACAACAAGCTCACACTCTTATCAAAATGTCTCCAACAGGGAGAGCTAGACAAAGCTACCTACTTTTTTGTCTTAGTTAAGTGGTATATGGTAATATTGCTATAACTTGTATTACTCAAAATCTGGAATTGTCTGTGGTTCTTATGGATTCAGCTACTTAACATTTACTATATTACATTTACATTGAGTTCTGGGAAACACATACTTTGATGAAAGAGGAGTATTTTCAATATACTGTGGTAAGTTCTGTAATAGTGGCTACATAGGATTCGGCCGTCTATGAAAACACAGAAGAGAGTCATTTACCACAGCCACAAGGTAGGGTGGGGAATGTCAGAGAAGATATAGGGCAACCTTCTTGCCTTAATGATTCAACGTAAAAATGGACGGGAAACAATATGGCAAAAATGAGAATAGAAATGTTCACAAAGCTAATTGAAAAGATTTTACTTTGGGGCTGGGGATTTAGCTCAGCGGCAAAGCGCCTGCCTGGCAAGCGCAAGGTCGTGAGTTCGGTTCCCGGTACCGGAGAAAAACCAAAAAA